ATTGCCCATCCTTCTTTTGTGGAGCAGCTAGTGTATTTGAACCGTGTGCCTTTGAGATTGCAGCACAGATCTTCCCAGTTTAACCATGAGACTAGCCAATCCACCTGGCAAAGTTAGTCAGTATCTAGGGTAGCCATTTAGAACCATAAACACTTAACACCACACATGATTAATCATTTTCTATCATTTTTCCACTGAGTTGTTGTCTCACCTGTTATTTATCATATTTCCCTGTATAATTGAGTCTGCTTTTCTGTGAACTCTGTTCTTTTTCTTTGACTTATTTTTGTGTACCTAAAATAGTAAGACCATTCTGCCTTAGATCAGCCCATAGTGATTCTTAAAATGTATATTGCTGTGTTCTTATCAGGAGCTTATTAATTTGACCATTTTTTCCTTTTATATATACATTTTTGCCCAAGCTCAAAACTCACTGCCATTGAGTTGATTTCAATTGGGAGGAGACTACCCCTGGTGGACTTCAACTACTAAAAACTTATAGCCTTTGTTTGCAAAGCACTGCTTACTACATACTATACCACCAAAGCTGCCCTTACTCATTTTGGAAACCATTTGTCATGTTCTTTGATAAACTGCCGCAAATGACGGCAAAAAAAAATGTGTTTGTAAGCATGGTCTCAATTTAAAAATGTGCGGCAATGTGTTAAAAAATCCTTTGGATAGTTTTATTAAAAATGTATCAGAACTATTCTCTGTTGATCTACTGTTCTAGCTTTTTGGATGATCTTCAGCAAGATTTTACTTACATGTGATGTTAATGATATTACTCAATAATTTCCACTTTCTGTTGGATTACCTTTCAGGCTGTATTTAGACAAGGCTGAGGCAGCAAGGATATCATTACTGATGTCACATGAATCTTAGCAGAAAGCAGATAATGCCAGAATGATGTTTATTTGTATTTTAAAGACTGTGCAAAGGAATTTGACTGTTTGGATCACAGTAAACAATAGCTTACATTGGGAAGAATGGGAATCCCAGAAAACTTAGTTAACTCATGTGAAACCTAAAGCTTGACCAAGCAGGGCAACATGGTTACGTCGGGAATGTTTCCCTTCTGCATACTTACTCTGTCTATATGCAGAGCAAATAATTTGAGAGGCTGGGGTTTATGAAGAAGAAGATGGCATCAGAATTCAAGAAAGACTTATTAACAGATGACACAACTTGGTTTGCTGAAAGCAAGACACTTCAGAAGGTAAAAAACTAAAGACTTAACATTAAGAAAACAAAAATTTTTATCACAGATTAGATAGACAAACATGACAGATGGAGAAAAGATGTCAATGATTTCATCTTACTTGGCTTCACAATCAACACCTTTGGTAACAACAGTCAGGTGTTACACTGGGGAAGTCTGTTGTTAGGGAACTCTCCGAGGTGCTGAGGAACACCACTCTTATTTTGAAGACTAACGTGCTTTTTAGTCAAGCACTTTTAATTACTTTTAATGCATCTGAAAGTTGAACATTGACTAAGAAGATGCCTTTGAGCTGTGGTGTTGGAGAAGAGTACTGAATATCTCATGGACTGTTAAAAGAACAAACATGTCTCGGAGAAAGGTATAGCCAGAGTACTTATTTTTTCCTATTTTTAAATTTTTTTATTGATTATAATGAAAGTTTACAGAGACTTTGGATTTCCATTCATTCATTCATTGTTGCACTTTTCTCCTTATACAATCCCTCCCCCAAGTGTACTCCACTATGCAGCTTTCCTTCTAGACTCCTGTCATGACAATGATACCTAATCATATATCCCTTTTAAACAGTTTTCTCCTTCATCTGTTTCAGTGCAGTATACATTATTTATCCCTTCTTTCAGTCTCCTCTCAAACCCATGTCAGTCCTATTTTACAACAGTGGCCCTGTGCAATATTTGTCCTTTTGTGACTGAGATATTTCACTCAGCATAATGACCCTCCAGGGTCGTCCATTTTGCATAATATTTCATGAATTCCTTATTTTTCAATGCTGCATAGTATTCCATTCTGTGCATGAATATACCAGATCTTCACTATCCATTAGTTTTTTGATGGGCACTTGGGTTGTTTCCAGCTCTTTGCTATTGCAGATAAAGCTGCAATAAACATAGGTGTGCATATATGCGCTTGAGTGGCGGTTATAGTTTCTCTAGGGTGAATGGTAAATATTTAATCAAGCTTTAGTCCTTTAAAATGAGGACCCTTCATTGCAAGTGAATGAAATCCAAGTTGAATTAGCTTATATACAAAAGACATTTTTAAAGAATCACTGGATAACTTAATATGCCCAAGTTGAAGCATATGATGAGGCCTCAGACAGCATTATAAGCAGGGGTTCTTTAGCTGTGTATCTGTGTCCTTTCTGTGTACCTGCTTCATATTTATGTTGCAGAGTGGTATTCTCTATGTTGGGGAATATAGCACTCAACAGTTCCTGAATTTCATTTTCTTTTTTTTTTTAAGTTGTTATTTTTTATTGTAGAGGGGGAAAAATATCCTAAAATATCTGTTAAATAACAATTCTTAACAAAATAGCTCTCAGCATCTGCTGGCTTCACGTGGAGTCAGATAGAACGAGTGGCCATGTGCTGAGCCCACGAACGTCCCCACAATCCATAGGGAACCCTATAACCTCCAACATGTCTTCCAAAATTCTGCATAGTTGTCCATATTTGATCCAAAGGTGAACAGTATACAAGCTGGCAGAGAAATTAGGACAGCTAAAAAGAAAAAGGTTATCCACTGTTGACTTCAGAACAAAGGCCAGGCAGGAATTCACTGTAATGTCCTTTCAACTATTCTTAGTGTTTGAAATTTGAGTTACAGGCAGACTGAAAAGCTGCTTGCATGTAGTTCATGCTTTCCCCCAGATCTGCCTAAAGAATACTCTGGATTTTTTTTGGTTTTGTTTTTCAAATCAGAAATAGAAAATCAGTTCTTCCCAATTGATGTCTGATTTCTGTTCTGTCTGAAAAAGGCCTCAAGGCAATCTTAAACCATGGGGTACAGTACACTGATGCGGTGTTAACAGTTCCTGGGAGGAGATGTCTGGTTCAAAAGCTCGTCGCAGGTTTGTGATGGTCACTGGTCTGTCCACAACCGTCACGTGGCTGCAGCTACAGAACAGAGGCAGATCCTTGCTGTGGGGATGGAATCCTTTCTGGCGACAGGAAGAAATCTCCTCTAGTCCATGGTCAGTTAGTTTAAAGAAGCCAGTTTCCTGGAACTTGGGGGAGCAGACGATGGCTATCGACTCAGGCAGCAGCATCTGATAGGAGCAGTGAGTGTGCAGGTCACCGCTGGACAGGAAGGCGGTCTGTGTGGGGTGAGTGTGAATCCAGCCCAGCGTGATGAGGCCCTTCTGGTCCTGGATCAGGAAGAGCTCTTCTTCATTCTCTGTGTTTCAGTAATCTGACCCAGCGCTCTGCTTCGGGATGAGAATGTGGGTGATGGTAAACTCGTTCTGCGTCAGTTTACCACAGAGGATCCCACACGTCTCCACTCCCCGGGCAGTGTTGGCACTGGCTAACTGGAGGAACTGCGGGTAGAGTCGGGCGGGCACCATCATATGGCACAGGCCGTCAATTGTGGGAATACTTTCTGAGCTGGTCAGCACCCCAGGCTTCAAGGACCTGTCCACCAGCGGTGGCTTAGCTGGCTTCACGATTGAGTTAACACTCTGAAGGCTGTGTGGCTGAGGCAGGTGTGGTAGGGAACACGTCTTCGGAGGCTTTCTCCAAGTCAGGCCCCCGGGGACCGCCGGGGCCCGGGTCCACCTTCCCAAACTCCTGTACAGTCTTCAGGTGCTCTTTTTCGAGCTCCTGGTTGCGGATCATCTCCTGGAAGGCGTGGAACTGTTCCTGCTCCAGCTGCTGCTGCTGCTTCTGCTGCGTGACCCTCTGCCTCTCCTTCTCCAGCTTCTGCTTGATGTCAATCCCTGGAGAGAGACTGCCTTAGCCTTACCTCTGTATCACATACTGGGGTCTGCATTACACCCTGGTCAGCTGCCAGGCATTTGCTTGGTATTCCCCACTTTTTTTCTGCTGTGTTTGGACATTATTCCCAGGTAGGCTTTTAGTTTTGAGGCCATCAGGAAAATGATATATTTGACTTTACAGAGAATGCTATAAAGAGACACATGGCAGAAATGTTGCTAAAATAATTGACAACATAAAACAACAATATGGGTTGAAAATTGCTCTAGAAAATAAATGGGTTTGTTGTAAATTGTCTTTATGGGGTGTAGTGTTAATGTAGTCATAGCAGTGTAACCACTGCCATCAATGAGAAGTCAACTCCTAGCTACCCTGTAGGATTTGGTAAATTAGAATGCCCTAATCGTCATAAACAGACTGCCACCAAACACTTGCGCACTGTACTACGAGGGCTCATTGGATGTGGCTCAGGAGGGACCAGTCAGAATCTAGAGAAGGACTTCATACTTAAGAGTGGAGGTTCTGTGAAAGAGACGACCTTCCTCAAGATGAATTGACACAGTCACTGTAATGAACTCAAACATGGCAACTGTTGTGAGGATGATGCAAGACCAGGCAGTGTTTTGTTCTGTTGACATGAGGCTGCTCTGATTTGGAACCAGCACCTAGCAACGACAGATTTATTCTCTGGATGAAAAGTAATTGGATGGAAGTTGGTTCTAATCTCCTTTGTTTTCCAAATTGCTCAATATCCAGGGTGTCTCCCTTTTTTTATGAAGAGAACCTTAGCTGTAGAAGGAAATCTCTTCTGCTCTGTGCCCTTTGGTTTGGGGCTGGTGCTTTTCACCCTGTGCCTCTTTATCAGGACATTGCTGCTTCCTCGCCCTCCATCTTTATATAATGGATACGCCTTCCTTCCCTGTGTAGTCTAGGTTACTTTCTGTCTGTTTTTAAATGAAATTTCTTTTCTAAAGTAACTTTGTTCCTAATCTGTTTATTAGCACTTCTCTGTCTGATTTAACCTTATTTTAACAGCCTGATTCTTTTTTAATACCTTCCAGGAAGTAGGAAGAAAGAAAAGGAAAGGCCAGAAATTTCTCCACCATCTGACTTTGAACATACCATCCATGTTGGCTTTGACGCTGTCACTGGAGAATTCACTGTAAGTTTACTTTGTTGGGGCTCGTTTGTGAGTTTGCAAACCTGCCCTTTTCAGTACTGAGTTTGAAATTACTTTTCTGCTTATATACAATTGAATTATTCTGCTGTTTTACTGTTTATGAAAATATAGTTGGGTGTATCTTTTTTCTTAGGGGTGCTGAGCCTACTGATTTATAATTTTGCAAAATATGTTTAGGATGAAAATAAAAGACCTTTTAGAAAACCATAACTTCTAGGATTTATTCAAACCTACAATTGTCTAGATTGATTTTTTGATGTGTTTTTAAAATCATTCATCTCTGAAAATTTATTGAATCATTTTTTAAACTAGTTTCTGAATGTGTTTGTCTTAGGGTATGCCAGAACAGTGGGCTCGGTTACTACAGACCTCCAATATCACCAAACTAGAGCAAAAGAAGAACCCTCAGGCTGTACTGGATGTCTTAAAGTTCTATGACTCTAACACCGTGAAACAGAAATACCTGAGCTTCACTCCTCCTGGTAAGACATCAGAAAATGGTGAAAGGCTGATTTAAATGGATTCCAGAATTTTGAAACACTTCTCGATAAAGAGATTGAAAGGAAGGATGATGAGATTGCTAAGCCATGCCTCTTGTTTTTGTTTTTCCCCTTCATACACTCTGCTTTTTATGATTTGATTGAGGAAATTTATTTGCATAGTTTGAAACCTGAGGGTTATATCAACATCTTAGTTTTGCCAAAAAAATGGAACTATGGATGTTTTGACCTTATTTTTTATTTTTTCTGATTTCCTGTTGCCTTTGAAAGACTAGTGTTTGAATGATTCTAGAAGGAAAGAATACTGATTTACAATAGACGTTTTTAAGAGGAAAATTGATTACAGAGATACGTAGATTTTGAAATAGAAAGTTCATTTTTAAAAATCAAGTGTATAAATGCATAAAATGAGCATTAGAACCTAAGAATAGTTATACCTCAGTTGGAATATGAGAAAACACTGATTTTAATCAGGACCAGACTAAAATGTATATATTACCGAAGTCAATTATCAAGTCTGGTTTGACTTCTGGTGATCCTGTGTGATATAAATTAGACTACTCCACAAGTTTCTTCGCTATATTCTTAATCGAGAGGACCTCGTGAACCCTGGGGGCATAGTATGTAATGCACTGGGACTGCTAGCCCAAGGGTTGGTAGTTCAAAGCCACCAACCACTTTGTTAGTCTCTTCTCATAAAGATTGACAGTCCCTGAAACCTGAGGATTCCTGAAAGTTGAAAACAAGTTAGTGGCAGTGGCTTTGGTTTTGTGGTTTTAAAACTTAAAGGACCTGGCTTTCTGCATCTTTCTGGCATTGTACCACTGGGTGGGTTCAGACAGCCAACATTTAGTTAATCTTCTATCTACATCCTTAGGAAAAGGTCAGCTTTGTCTCTGGAATTTCTTGGTCAGCTGGTCAGTCTATGGAAATCAGTGGTATTTTTATTTTTTAGTCAGTTTATCTAGGAAATACTTAATTCTTTTCATCCAGTAGGAGCCTTGGCAACACAGTTGTTAAGCTCGAAACTGTTAACAGAGAGGTCGTGGTTCAAACCCATCAGTCACTCCTTGAGAGAAAGATATGACTGCTTCTACAGAGATTACAGAAATGGTTCATAATTCCAGAGTGCATATTTTAGCAGTTAGCTGTCAGTAACTGCTCAAGGATTTCCTCTTTTCTGGTTCAAGAGTTATGTGAAGAGTTTTATTCTGCACAGTTGTCATTTTCTGATGCTTTTACATTCCTTAATAGACAGTTTTCTGAAGAAAATATATGCTTGAATAAACTTCTGGTTTATTTTATCAAATAGAGATTGAGAAGTATTTTTTTAAAGATTATTTTAAAAATTTCATTGAGGTATAATTGCATGTCATTAAATTCATTCATTTCTTAAATACAATTCAGTGATTCTTAATGCATTATATCTATTGTAGGATTTGAGATTTGTAGCCCATGGTCTTGTATTAAGGTATTTCTGAGTGCAGACTGATACTGTCCTTTTTCCTCTAGATTTAATTCAACATGAAGTGAAATTCGTTTAAAAATATTTTACTTTTCCCTCCCTTTTTTTCATGATGTAGCAGTTAGGTTTCTTGAGTTAATTTAGTATTATTTTCTGTTTCATATGCAGAGAAAGATGGCTTTCCCTCCGGAACACCAGCAGTAAGTTGATATAATAATTCTTGTAGCTCTTGTTTTAATTTAGGTGATCTAAACCAAATCTGTTTTTCTCTCAAATAAATTATAGTCATTAGAAGTAAATAACTAATATTAATATGTGTCTTTAGCCATGTGATTAGTTGAAGAAGCCATATTAAGTAAATAAAATTCCTTTGAAAAGATACTTGGAGTGATTAATGGTATTTTAGAGCAATTTATCTCCTTTTAAGAAAAATTTTTGACATGTTTTCACATTTAAAACATTAACACGAAGAACTTGATAGGATTCTCTCCTCTTTTTCCTTATCCTGTCTTCTTCATACTGTTATATTGAATTAGACTATAGAAATACATTGAAAATTGTCGGCGTCCAGAATTCTCTGAAACTCAGTCTGGGTTATCCTTTAAACCTAGTTTTCTCTTGGAATGACACATGTGCTGATTTCAGTTCCTTAGTTAGGAGGAAACAGTCTCCTGGAGTTGTATGAGAACTAAATGAGATAACATACCTAGTACATTGGCTCTTCGTAAAGGTTCGTTTCCCTTAGTTTTACTAGGGAACTCTGGTGGCAGAGGGAGTTATGTCTCAAACTGACACCTCTAATTTTTAATCCACCAGTCACTCCTTGAGAGAATTAATCTCTTTATATATGATTTCCAATCTTGAGAACCCAATGAAGGGTTAGCTGTTGATCTTATATTACCAAATACATTGATTATTCACTTAGAAAAAGTACAGCCAGCGTGCACCTTAGAGGCAAGGATGGCAAAGCTACATCTCACAGACTTTGATCATGTTGTTAGAAGGGACCTGCTTTTATTCTTGGAAAGGTGGAGAATCAGGGAAAGAGGAAAACTCGCAATGAGATACATTGACACAGTGACTGCACCAGTGAACGTTAAGTATGTCACAGATGCTGAGGATGGCACAGGATAGAACAGGGATCAGATCTATTGTTAATAGGGTCATTATGAGTAATACTCAACTCACTGGCACCTAGCAAGAATATATGATCTTGTGTATTTACTTCATAAACTCCTGTATAATTAAGTTTTAAAATCAATGAGGCTTTATAATTTTGAAATAAACATTTTCACAAGTATGTTTAAATGATATCTAGTTCATAGGGTAGCTATGAGTCCTAGTATACCTGATGGCACATAACAACAACAAGAAATCATATTTTAACTTGTTGTATTTGCTCATGTGCTAACTATAGCTGAATACAAAGAGTTCCGAAACATCCACGGCAGTAAACGAGGAAGAAGATGATGATGAAGAGACTGCCCCTCCTGTCATTGCTCCACGGCCGGACCATACAAAATCAGTGAGTTTGTGAGCAGTGTATTGGCCTTGTATGTGTTTTAAAAACAAATCTTTGACATTAGAAGCTTTAAGATGGCCAGACTTAAAATACTTGATATTATAAAGTTTAGCTAGGAGATCTTCAAAATCATATATCAAAAATTAAGATTTTAGGGGAGCTCTGGTGGCTTAGTGGCAAGAAGCTGCACTGCAATCCCAGAGGTGCATGGTTTGAATCCACCAGATGCTCTGCCTCGGAAGGAGGGACAATCTCCTCCTGTACCAGTCAGATCCAATTTGACGGTACATACACAAAAAATAATAAAATAAAAATTTTTTTTAGAAAAGATTTTTATAAAAAATAAAAATCAAATGGTTGACATACTTGACTTTTTTCCCCTTTCTGCATTGCACCATTTCTTCCAAAAAGAGAAGTCTGATCCCCTTTTTGCTTCCTCTGTTCTTAGCCTTTATAGATAACTACTGTATCTAAAGCTTAGGTCTTACCTCCCAATTTACAGTTCGTTCAAAGCCATGATATTATTCAAAAGACTTCTGAGAGTAAATTTTCTGAACTTCTATGATAGGTTTTTGGGATTTTTTTTTGGAGAGAGATGACTCAATTTATTATTTTGACCTTGACTCCATCAGTCCTGCTTTAGGCTCCAGCATTGCTAGGAAGTGCCACCTCCCACCCTGAGAACAGTCATGCCCATAAGCATGAAGGGGGTAAACTAGTCAGGGCTCTTCAGAATAGTCAGGGTTGCACACTCATCACACAAGGAAACTACAGGATGGGCTCGGTAACTGCACAGTGAGTGTGTGAGATGGGCAAAGTTCCTTTCACTGTGGCGGAATGCCTTAGTCTCCAGATTCCTGGACTGGAACATGGTACCAGATAAGTAAGGTCATCCAAACAGTGAGCAGGCTTCCCTTTCTACAGGACTATAGTGCATCAGTCACCATGTGAAGGAGCTCCAGCAGGCTGGCAGTGCCCAGGGTCCATATAGTTCAGAAGCTCGAAGCTCTTGCCATGGCTCTGGCTCTGGCAGCTTTGGCCTCGTCCTCTAGCTCATTTAGGAAACATTCCTGTGACACTGATTAGAAGGTATAACCATAAATAGCAAGCACTAGGGCCCCGATGCCCAGGCCTGTCATGATGTTCCGGGTCTGCTGCTATGGCAGCGTCTTCAGCCACTGGGCGAGTTGCTGCTGCTTGGGAGTCAATTTTTCCTGAGTTGGGTCGATGCATTGAGCCACTGGGTCCTTTTTACTCTTAGCATTTAGAGTGTCTCCTGCTCTGGGTGCTGCCATGTTGCTGCTACATCTTTTCCTATGGTAGAAGTTTTAATAGTCGCGGCCATAGGTAGAGACAGAAGAAAGGAGGTACCTCTGTGAGTCCATCTTTCTCCCTGTTCGGTAGTTGATGGTAAAGTGTGGGGCAGGTTCTGTGCATTTGGAGTGTGATGAAGTGGCAGTACGTTTGATTGCCAAACCTTTGAAGACTTTAATGGAACCTGAGTCAGTGATTGACAACCCTCTTGGCTTTATCCTTTGGAACTAATTGAAAGGAAGTAGTGGAAATTATATTTGTGTAAAAACTAGTATTTTCTGTGTAGCTGAAAACGTGACTTTTAAACTTTGTGTTTTTATTATATTGTTAACATATCATATGATGTGTCAAGGAAAAAGTGCTTCACATTTTTCCTTTTCATAGTCAAAATGTTATTCTCATACTTAATACTGGAAGGGGGAAAAAAGAATACTGAAAGAAACAATTTTGATTTGGTTACAAACCAGAGAACTCAGTAGTGTCACAGTAAGCAGTAATGAGCACTCTTTCTGCAGATTTACACACGCTCTGTAATTGACCCTATTCCTGCACCAGTTGGTGATTCTAATGTTGATGGCGGTGCCAAGTCCTCAGACAAACAGAAAAAGAAGGCCAAGATGACAGATGAAGAAATTATGGAAAAATTAAGTATGTTGACTACATTTTGCATTACTTTTTTTTTACACATTTTGCATTATTCTTAATGTCAACACTCTTAAGCCTGACCCATATGCATTTTCACTGATAATTGCATAATTTGACCTAACACATAAAGGATTAATTATTTAACGTAGTAATATTTTTTAAAAAATGTTTTCTTGTAAGAGCAATAATGTCAATGAAAATTAAAAGCCAAAATGATACTTTTCCTTGTTTGTTTAGTAACCAGCCCACTGCTCTTGAGTTTCAAGTCGTAGTGACCCTTCATCCAATTTCCAAGATTGTAAATCTTAAAAAGAGGAGACTGCCTATCTTTTCCCCAAGGAGCATTTGGTGGATTTGAACTGCCAACCTTTTGGTGCCAGCCTATTGGTTAGCAGCAATACATCCCACATTGTGCCTCTAGAACTCCTTGCTTGTTTGGTAGTACATTTGACAGATATCTTTAGTTGAGTAATTAGTAGTAGTATCTCTACAAGGGTCAGTACCTTTGAGAATGGTACTTTTTCTTTAAGGAACAATGTTTGGAAATGTCACAAGGAGAGATGGAGAGGAACAGTGTTGTGTGGGTTGGAATCCGGTTGAGAGGAGTGGATTTGATTTGAGTTTCTGTACAAATTTGTATATGGGCATAAAACTTACTCAGAGGCTATCTTTTTCTCTTCTCCTTTTTAATCTATCTGTGTTAATGTTAATTAATCTGTGTTAATGTTCACAGTGCCAGAGAGAGGGTAGAAGTTAAATCTGATGGCAAATCTACTCAACTGTAGCTAGAAGATAAGGAATGTTAACTGAAAAGGATCAAGGAAAAATACTTTATAGATGAATTGTGCAAAACATTTATACACTCTCCATTTATCTGCTCTTCACTTCTCAGTCCTTTTTCATATAAGTCTTTGTATCCTGTACCACTCTTCTTTACCATTACCACTAATTGCTTTAAATTCCTACTCAAAGGCGACCCCTTGTGTGTGCGACTAGACCTGCTTCACCGGTTGTCGGTAGCTGATAAGTTGAAGGAAAAGTGCCGTTTTACGTCCAGCATGCTGTTCTTTGTGCACTTCTCTAAAACAGATGTCTGATTAGATTTTATTAATTTTTCTAGTAATAAATACTTTTCTGAATATATCCTAAAGACGTAAGATACAATCAAAGAATGTGAAAAGCCATTTAGGGTTTTATCATTTATTTGAATAGCATTCTTATATCTTACAGTAAATAGTGTTTTGCATTTCAAGCAAATACTATTGATGAAACTTAATATAATGTTTGAAAAATCACTGTCCTAAAATAAATGAAACATATTAAGAGTCTTAGTGATATAAAAATTAATTTCTGGTGGCCTAGTGGCAAGAAGGTGCACTGCGATCTCATAGGTGCATGGTTTGAATCCACCAGATGATCTACTGGAGAAGGAGGGACAGTCTCCTCCTGTACCAGTCAGATCTGATTTGACGGTACACACAAAAAATAATAAAATAAAAAAAAATTAATTTCTATTTTTAAATGCTTGACTAAGCTTCCGAATTTTGTTTTAAAATAGGAACTATCGTCAGCATAGGTGACCCCAAGAAAAAATATACACGATATGAAAAAATTGGACAAGGGTAAGTTTTTGTGACTCTATTGCCATGATGTTCAATATTTAGTACTTGTGCCGCTTGATATCTCTGTGACCTGCTGATTGTGAGCACCTTACGTTATAGGATTGTAAGTTCCTTGTAGATTCTTTAAATAAAGTTATTTCTAAGTACATTTAATGAAAAGATTAGGTTTTTAGATTTTACAATACTGTTACTTTTTAAATGTTGTTATCCCTTGTTGGTAAGGGGTACATGGATGGGGAAGATGGCCATTATATTTCTTTTAAAGACTTCTAGATTATATGAATAATGAAAACAGTCAGATTATAGAGTTAGTTATACTAATCCTCTCATTTTTAAATCCAATTTTATTTGTTAAATTCTCCTAGCTAAACTTGGGGGCTCTGATGGTTTAGTGCTAAGGAATTGTGCTGCCAACCCAAAGGCAGACAGTTGTAATTCATAAACAGCTACACAGAAGAAAGATGGACAGTCTCTTGCACTGCAGTTTACAGCCTCAGAAACCCTCAGGAGGGTCAGCTATGAGTTGGTTCTGACTACGGCACATAGCAACAACAGAACTTTGTTTCTTCTTTTTGACTTGGGGGCTATTTTTCATTTCCTGCTGTTGCTGTGTCAGAAATGTTACAAGTGGTATTTAACAGACAAATTTATTTTCTCATAGTTTAGAGTCCAGAGTAGGATAGAAGTCCAGAAATTGAGAATGCTGCTTCTACGGCAGGGTTCCTGTCTCTGTTCTCCCTCTGTGGGCCTGGCGTCCTCGGAAGTCCGTGTGCCTTGACATCAGTTTTCTCCTGAGTCTAGGGAATTCTCAACTCAGGAAATCCAGATCCAAAGACAAGTTTAAAATGTTGCAAATAGTCATGAAATATGATGGTAGATAAATTGTAGTATGTTCATGTCACAGTGAAAATGAATGGACAAAAACTAGAACATGAACTGTTAGAAATGTAATTTTAAATTAATGCGAATTACAGAAAAGAAAATAAAAAATGAAACCCCTTGAAATTAAATACTACATTTTTAAATGTTCTATACTATTTCCTTAGTTAAGTATAAAGTCCTTAGCTATGACATTATGATAATGATCTTGAAACTTTAAATTTTACTGTGTCTCTTTCTCTTTAGGGCTTCTGGTACAGTTTTCACTGCTACTGACGTGGCATTGGGACAGGAGGTAGCCTTTTTTCCGTATTTTTTTATATTTTTGAGGTATAACCATTATCTTTTAGTATAGAAGGAAACTTAACAAAGCTGAGAATAATCAATAAGAACTTTTTAGGTTTAATATTTTAAATGCTTAGTATTTAGGGCATGCCTTTGACTAAGGGAAACCATTTGTGTCATAGACAAATAAATACAAAAATTCCTTTTCACAACTTGAATGGAAAGGAAATTAGTTCCTGGAGCTAGGCTGACATTGTTGTGGTTGATTAATCAATTTTAAGGCAAATCTAAAAATAAGTTGACTGCATTGCAAAGCGTTATGTATGAACACTATGGAAGTAAAAGTATAGGTATGTTGTGACCTCATTGTATAATACAGAATTGTCATAAAAGAAATAGTTAATTGGTTGATGTTTATAATATTCTTCTTTTGTGTGTTTAAATTTTCTAAAAGAACTAGAAAATCTGTACTGAATTTTGTTTTTTTTCACCATCTTTCCTTTGTAGGTTGCTATTAAACAGATAAACTTACAGAAACAGCCCAAGAAGGAATTGATCATTAATGAGATTCTAGTAATGAAAGAATTAAAGAACCCCAACATAGTTAACTTCTTAGACAGGTAAATATGAGTATTTCCAAAATAATAAGGATAAAATAATAGATTTTTTTAAAACTTTGTGATTTAGAAGATTAGCTGCATTAAGTCTAACTAGAATAGAATGTCAGTGCTGAAAGGGAAGTTTGAAGGAAGAAGATACCATGTTGTTTTAAGCACATGTTTTTTTCTGCCTGAATATTATTTTAGCAGAGAGAAGACAATTGTTACTACTAACAACACTTATATTTGTAACAAATAATCAAAAGCAGAAATGGTTTTCCCCTTAGGAGAGATGACTGGCCACACAGATTTTAAGCTTTTAGATTAACTTTTAATTTCAAATTCTGCCTTTCATGAGCAAATAGTGTATTTATAGTATAACTTCATTAACTTAGAAATTGCTATTAAATAGCAGAACTTGAAAATAGAGAATTAGATGTGTTATTTCTCTTTTAAGCAACTGCATATGTGAATGAAGGGAAAAAAAGAAAGTAATGAAAAATGAGGACTAGTGGCTATATTGGAGAGCAAGAGAAGTATTGGATGGTTTTATTTGTGGTTTTTTTT